ATCCACCATTGAAAAACTATCATCTGGAAGTTTCCTTCCACTTTATTTTCACACACAAAATGCTTCAATCCTAATTGAAATCGATGAAAAAAATCAAGCAGCAGTTTCAGCGTGGGAAGTTCTGTTATCAACTTCAGAAATAACTTCATCATTCACACGGCATTATTCCTGCTTTCCTGTAGCTACCTATCGATTATGTGATCGAAATCAGCTGTCAGCAAAAACTCATTGTGAAGTCTTGGTAGATCTTATGTCGAAGACGATTGAATATTCCAAGTCACAAAACGCATCTGGTAAAGCAGATGAAACACTTGATGTCCCCGAATCACATTATGTGTGCCAGTGGTGGATTCAGCAGTTTCAAGGATTGACAAATAATGATACTGCTGAAATTTGCCTTCCATTCAAGAAAAAACACCGTGATCATATCCGGTCGCAGGGTGGCCCATCACCTTTTCGTCGGTCAGGTTTGTGGATGACTATTAAAGTGGTATCACAAACTATTTTAACAAAATCTTTGAAAGAAAATGCGACCATTGTTTATAAATTATTCATAACTCATTTTCTCACGTATACTATTTGTACAAGAACGCCTTCAATCGACTTATTGGTGTTTTCGATTAGAAAAATTGTACGACGATTGAACAAAATTGATCATTTATTAGGCCCTCCGACATCGGAGCATATAAATCAATGGATTGAAAATATAAGGAACGATATACAAGATAAAATTAATCGAATTTTTCCCAAATCGGACTGGCAACAAGCTGTTCGAATGAACGAAATAAGAAATGAAGATTTGTCAATGGAGAATTTCCATTTGAACAATACAAGAATTTGTAAACATTTATGTAGAGATCTAAAAGCATATCTGGATGGTAGTGTCGTACCAGAAGCATTGGAAACAGGTCTATACACGAATGGTTACTACGGTGATTCATCTCAAAATACTAAAAACGTCGATTATATACCTTCTCTTGAGAGTTTAACAAACAAGTGTAGATATACTATGGGCGTCGCGTTGACTCGTTTAGAAATATGGGTGGATACGCATCTAGAACAATGGATCAATCATGGCGGACTAGCTGGACGTAAGAAAAACTTTCAAGATTTATTAGTTTTTTTCGAAGAGTATCAAAATGCAGCACTGACGCATTATGGTTCAACAGATCCCGTCGGCTACAGTCGATTTATCTTAGCATCGTTGACAATTATTCGTTCCATGCACCGTAAACTATGCGAGGACGACATATTAAAACGATTGAATTCACATTCGATTCAAATTCCTAATCTCATCGAATTATTCGAATTTTTAGTGTTACCAAATCGAGACGATATGGTCAGAGCCGAAAGACTCTATGACTTCTTCAAGGAATTTGCTTCTAAATCATACCCCGATCTTTTAACAGACATTAAAGATGTCAATGCATTTGGTGTTTACTATGCTGGTCAATCACTGGCAATGAATAACAGTATAGAACAAATTCGACGTCAAGCCGAGATTGATAAACAGAACAAGATACAGGAAGTTCAACAAGCGAAACAGCGATATAAACATCTTATGGATTCCATACGCGGCCTACCGTGTTCATGCTATTATGATTCAAAGTATAATTCACATATCGAATGCGATGTATGCTCAATCAGAGCGACAGCAGATCATATGACAGTGAGAATCTTTGAGAATCCAATGCCAGTTCAACGCGAAAGTGCATTAGCTGTCATTTTCGAACTACAAATGCCGAGTGAAATTCGATGTTACAGAGAAGTTCTTTGGCAATTTGTTAATCGATCTAAAAGAAATCGAAAAAATAAGATGCATGAATGGTTAAGCGTTCTTCCTCATGAAACCAAACTGGAACCATTCTATAAGGGTCCAGACGATTGTAAAGTAAACCTCGTTTCTTCTACAACTTCCGTAACAAAGAATTATTCTTCTCATCCGCCAAGGGTTGGCTCAACAGCCGTTGAAGGTTTTCTATTCGAAAATAGTCTAGAGGTGCGCATCTCTCCTACACAACCAATTGAATTCAAAGAGGAGCACCACATGTTAACTCCTCAGCTCAACCACTCCGATTACAAACGATTACAATTTGCTATAAACAGCACAGGATTTATTCAAAATGATGTCATTGCGAAATTATCCAATTGTTCATTGGAAATTCAACCTAAAGAATTTGTTGAATTTGGTTCATTTCGATCGGGTCATCGTTTACAATGGTGGAATCTTCTAGCAGCGCTCGAAACGGATTCCTTGTCTATTGCTGAAGAAAGTGTAGCAATATTAATTACACACTCAATATTACAGTATGGTCCGGTAGGTGGCAATAAAAGTAATACTTAGTAATAACAAGACGATCAATTTCAAGCGGACCTGTTGGTGTGTATTGAGAGCTTGGAACGAAGTGGAACTGCTGACGGAGTAAAAGGTTTGTTACCATTTGAGCTAAGGGAATTGATCTATGCTGAGAATTAAATGTCATATTTCCCTGTCGTAACACGTCATATATTACACTGTTTTAGATCTTCTGGTGATAGAGAAAGCTGAGCGTATGTTCATTGCGAAAAATCTATGTCATTGCTAAGTAGAGAAATGGACGTTGAAAACGGAGCTGTAGTTTTTCAACACCCTCCCTAAGATTATTGATATCCTCAGAGTGAGCATTTAAAACTGAAATCGAAACATTAAGAGCTCGTTGTGTAAATTGCAATTCTTCTCCCAGTTCAATTTGGTTTTCTTGTACTTTTACTAAGTGTGCATCATGGATTTTTAATGTTTGAGAGTACTCTGCAAGTGTTTGTTGCGACGACTACTACTTATTTGTAAAGATTTGCTGTTAGTGTAGAGTTTATTATCGATGCACCTAGGTCGAGAAAACGCTGCTAAATTGGGCAAAAATCTGCTGGAAGGACAATATTAGTAGAGACAAAATGATCGCTATGTTATATTTCATAATTAATGCACTTCAAGCGGTTGTTCATGATTTCTATTAATCAAGAAAATTGATAAAGGCGATAAGAATGCTTTTTACAAGTATGTAAATCTACAATACAGAATTAAATTACAACAGAAATAACAAAACCAATTGACTTCTTCCATAAAAGTGAGCATATTATACCACACCAAAGAGATCGTCGACAACCGCATGTGAGTATGATTGTCCAAACTTTCACTGATATCTGTTTCACATAATATTCATCTAAAGTGCGTAAGTCATTTCACTCGACTTCTAAAACAAACTAGATAATCTGGTGACATTCCCCTGAAATCTTTATAGTTTCTTCTTCTTGAATTTCTAAACAGCATTTAAATCCTGCTCGATGATTTAGACGTTTGCAAAGGTTCAAACTTTTACTCCAAGCTATCTCAATCTATAAAATATCCACCGTCGCCCGACATATGTTAAGCATAATTTATTTCTTCAAAAGCAAAAAAAGGTTTTTCTTGGTAAAACTTTCTGTCATAGCATAGAGTACGAATCACGAGCGAATAGTGTCATCTATTCCAAAATGTTACTGAAACTATCACACCTAAGAATACCTCGTCTACACTTAGCAGTGTACGCTAACGCCGACACCGTTTGTATCAAAGTTAGCGGTAACTATATCGGGTTTGTTGTCATTATTGACATCGACGACTGCCACTGAGCATGGTAGAGTGCCAGTTGCATAAGTAGTTTGAGCATAAAAGGTCTCAGTACCTCTATTAAAAAGAACACTGACAGTACTTGCACCATAGTTAGCGGTGACTATATCGGGTTTGTTGTCATTATTGACATCGACGACTGCCACTGAGTATGGTTGATAGCCAGTTGCGTAAGTAGTTTGAGAACGAAAGGTTCCATTGCCATTATTAAGAAGAACACTGACAGTACTTGCACCATAGTTAGCGGTGACTATATCAGGTTTGTTGTCATTATTGACATCGACGACTGCCACCGATCGTGGTTGAGTACCAGTTGCATAAGTTGTTTGAGAAGGAAAGGTTCCATTGCCATTATTAAGAAGAACACTGACATTGTTTCCACCATAGTTAGCGGTGACTATATCAGATTTGTTGTCGTTATTGACATCGACGACTGCCACTGAGTATGGTTGAGTGCCAATTGCATAAGTTGTTTGAGAAGAAAAGGTTCCATTGCCATTATTAAGAAGAACACTGACAGTACTTGTACCTCCATTAGCGGTGACTATATCGGGTTTGTTGTCATTATTGACATCGACGACTGCCACTGAGAATGGTTGAGTGCCAGTTGCGTAAGTAGTTTGAGAAGAAAAGGTTCCATTGCCATTATTAAGAAGAACACTGACATTGTTTGCACCATTGTTAGCGGTAACTATATCGGGTTTGTTGTCATTATTGACATCGACGACTGCCACTGAGTATGGTTGGGTGCCAGTTGCATAAGTAGTTTGAGCATAAAAGGTCTCAGTACCTGTATTAAGAAGAACACTGACATTGTTTGCACCATTGTTAGCGGTGACTATATCGGGTTTGTTGTCATTATTGACATCGACGACTGCCACTGATACTGGTCCAGTGTTAGTTGCATAAATAGTTTGAGCATAAAAGGTTCCATTGCCATTATTAAGAAGAACACTGACAGTACTTGTACCTCCATTAGCAGTGACTATATCGGGTTTGTTGTCATTATTGACATCGACGACTGCCACTGATTTTGGTTGATAGCCAGTTGAATAAGTAGTTTGAGAAGAAAAGGTTCCATTGCCATTATTAAGAAGAACACTGACAGTACTTGCACCATAGTTAGCGGTGACTATATCGGGTTTGTTGTCATTATTGACATCGACGACTGCCACTGATGCTGGTTGAGAGCCAGTTGCATAAATAGTTTGAGAAGAAAAGATTCCATTGCCATTATTAAGAAGAACACTGACAGTACTTGCACCAAAGTTAGGGGTAACTATATCAGGTCTGTTGTCATTATTGACATCGACGACTGCCACTAAGTATGGTTGAGTACCAGTTGCATAAGCAAGTGCAGTGACGAACGTGTTGTTAGACACTATAAGTGAAAAACTAGTAACGCTCGTCGAGGCAGACTCGCTATGCCCTCGACTGAACCACTGACTGATAATAAAATAGTCTTATGTGCATTTTATGCAAAAAAAAGACAGAAGTATAACCTTTGAAAGGGTCCCCAGAGACTGATCTTCATTCGCCTCACAGTCTTCAAAAGAGTCAAAGGACTACTTGTGTTGCTTTTAATTATTCTTTATTCCTGACTGACAATTACTCTTCACAGTAAGCAGAAGTTCGCAATAAATGACTATTATGGATTTGCACTTTTAAACATGTCCTCCTTTTTCTAAAAGAAAGATAATTTCAGTAAGATCAAATGAGACTCTGTATATATTTCGCATTCGAACGTGTCGGATTGTTGATACTTTGGTAACTGGCTCTGGCTAGATTACCAGGCGCAGCTCGTTGTTCGTCGGCGCCCCATAGGGGCGCCACTCACAACTCGCCGCTCCAAAGCTGTCCCTATCTATCATATAATTACCCGTATGCTACTAAAAAGTATCGAAAATTAATTAGCATTCCATCAGCATCTCATAGATAAAAGTATCCGCGTCCGAACATTTAAGGCTATCTCCTTAATTAAAAGGCTTAAAAGTCTACAATAACTTTCAATATATCAAAGCTCAGCATTTAAGATTGCTCTCCTGTATGTAGCTTGTGAATAAATGTATTTTGGGATTACTGGCCTTTAGTATGCGACAGTCAACCGAGTGTGTTTTTACTTTTTCGTAATCAACTCTTCTATGCAGCCCTCCTCTCAGGCGCGGTTAAAATGTTTTCTTCATTTCTGTCACGTCCCTGTCCCTTCACCCGCCATCCAGCCAACCTCGAGCCTCAGGATCCCTCCCAAACGATGTTTGATGAAGTTGTGAGCATTTTCGAAAAAAA